TTTGCGTTACCTCGCAATACCTTTGCGTTACCTCGCAATACCTTTGCGTTACCTCGCAATACCTTTGCATTACCTCGCAATTCCTTTGCGTTACCTCGCAATACCTTTGCATTACCTCGCAATACCTTTGCGTTACCTTGCAATACTTTTGCGTTACCTCGCAATATCTTTGCATTACCTCGCAAAACGTTTTGCATTCTCACGCAAACGTTTGCATTGCCTCACTAAAGTTTTATGTTTTGTATGAACTGAATTAAATCCATGGAGGTATATAGAACAGGGTTATTCAAGTCTATGAAAAAAATTATTATTTTGAAATATCCTGTTACCATAACAGGATGTGTCACCACACGTCTAAGAAATTGATGTTGATATTTTGTGGCTGCACAGTGTTAAAATACCTGCATATTAAATATCTCCATGTGTGGCTGTGATACATTCAATCTGAAGCTTAATTGAAGCAGTAGCTAACTGTCGTATTATGGTGAGAATGTGAATTTGTTAATAAACCAACAGGCACAACAGTGATAAGCATCTTTTGTGAGGGAATACAAAAATTATTGCAAGGTAACACAATAATGTTGCGTAGGAATGCAGAATCAGGTTTGAGTGCAGTCACTGACAAGATCTTTAGGATTAGTTTCCATTTTTTAGTGAAAACTCTTCTTATTTGGCAACTTCCATCATTTCCAGTATCGCTACATATTAAAACAGCAAACAGATTTTATTTTGAAGCAAAAAAAAAAAAATCAAACATAGTGGATTTTTCATTAGTTTGATTTAACATTTTTACATTTAGGATTTGAAAACAGAAAAACCAAAGAACGAACCATAAACGGATTCAATCTGTRCACAAATTCTGTTTAATTCCCATCATTTCTAAGGTATTTGCCCTTCCATAAAACTCTAAATCTAAAATATTTGGAATTTTAAAGAGCTTGTAAATACCTGACTTGTGGACAGAGTCGGCGCCGCTGCAGGTGCCGTGTTCTGGAGGAAGAGGAGCGGAACGTCTCTCTGGTCACACAGCTGGACGAAGTGACTTCCCTTCAGCGCAGCTTCATACGACAGCGCTCCGTTGTTGGCTACTATTCCCACCAGGTGGCTAAAATCAAACATACATGCTGTAACTTTTAGTATCCAGTTGTTTCAGACTGAAAAAGCAAAATCCAACTTGTTTCATGTTTAGTAAGTCATTTTAATGGTGTTTTGTTTTCTTTTTAATTACCCATGAATCTTTGCAAATCCAGTAACAAGTGTGGTTCCATATCGAGCTTTAAACTCCTGGAAGCGGCTCCCATCTGTCAGCCGACCGACTGTCTGAACAGGAAACAAAACAAACACATTTATAGGTTTTTTTGTAAATTTGGCCATACCACCCTAAACACATCTGATCTCGGAAAAAAGAAACCTCAAACAGTATTTGAATATTGAGACTGTTTGTGCTGGGTGGAGTTTCAGGTGTGAATGTGGCTGACGAAGAGCGGTGTACTTGTGTTGTAAAACAAGTCTTAAAGAGCCAATATTATGTGTTTCTCAGGCATATATTTAAATACTATACCAT